TTCTTGAAAAACTTGTTTTTGAAAAAATCTCTAAAAAGAACGTTTCCGTCTGTAAAAAGATGCTCCATAATCTCTTATTTGCATATCGGAAAACCCCAGCTCTTTAGCTTTCACCAATCAAAAGTTATTCAAAAAATGGTTAGGGATTATCCTTGTTTTAAACGGACAATAATAAAAGAATACATGTTTCTTTAGCAATTTTTTGTGCAGATTTCTGTTCGATATGTGCACTATGGGAGATAGCTGGGTGATGATGGTGATGAGATCCAATGGAGAGAGCACTTTTTTCCTAAAATATTTTATGAAAGTCGACAAGTTTAAAACTTTTTCGTCTATTAGCAGTTAGGGTAATATTGAACTGATACAGAAAGAAGAGTCTGACAACTTTGAAAGCACTATAAAATCATACAAAGTACAAGCTTACTCGAATATGAACAGGACACAAATTTTGTAAAGATGATGGCGAAGAGGTGGAGGAGACCGTCCAAAAACTCGAGCAACTGAAATGCAAAAAACTAACATTTTTCCTTACTAACCTTGTTTAGACGTACAAGAATTCTCTCACACCACAACGACATTTTGTCAACACAGAGCTAACTAAAAAATTTCTTTGAAACTAACTTTTTTTGTAGTTAGAACTGATACTAGACGGTTATATTTTTAAATATGACATATAACATATAACAAACTTAAACATACACATTCAAAATAACATACACATTCAATTTAAATAAGAAGGAAAACATGCGATGAACAAATAACCAAAAATGAGGAAAAATACAACGTCACAACTTTATCTTTTAAAACTAAGATTTTACTCCCATTTTACAATAGAAATAACTCTTGAGCAATCTCATTATTTTCTCTAGTTAATACCATACAAATCATTCGAGTACACAAGAAAATTCTTTTTTTGTTAACAAATACATACTACACATAGAGTCTTCATTATCAGGATTATATAATTTATTTATTGTTTTTGATACATTTTTTAGACAAGTCACAATGCGTCTCACGGTTCTTGTTCGATAAATTCCTTCGGACGGTATCAACTTCCAATGAGCACTTTGACAACCATTTAAAATCATGTTTTTTAGCAATATCATAGACAAATACCTCAACATTTATCTCAATGGTAGAAATTCTAACGGGTGTCCCAGAATAAATTGCGCTAAATCTTGGTGCATTTTTCTCTCATTTTCTATTTATATAAAAAAATCCTCCTTTATATACCAAACGATAGAGAATTTAATTCTCTACAAGATTGTGTATTTATTCTTAAGATTCATCTTTGATGTTTGGCAAAGTAATTCTGACAAGAAAAGCTCCAAATTTTTTAATTGCACCTTCAAAAAATCGATTTTTTGCGCAAAACCTCACTAAAAATCACTTATTCAACAAAACAGGTATACCGAAAAATTCAGCAATAAATTTTCTACATTATAATGAATTTTTGAATGAAAAATAATGACTTTTTAGATGAAATCGGAGCGAAAAAGAGTGTTTGGAAAAGATCATTTTCTACTATTTTCGGCCATTATTTCGACGTCCAGTATTTCCTAGTTTTTCAGATAAAAAAAAAGGAGTAGGTTTATTTGTAAATTACACAGTCTAATGGAGCGGAAAATTCTACATTTTTTGGTCTATAAATTAATGATTTGAACTCTGGATTTTATACCGAAATAGTCAAAACATTTTTTTAGCGCTAGAAACTTCGGTGGACTTGGAAGTTTACCTAATCAGAAGCCACTAGCAATTGAAATAAATTAACTTCAAGTAAACTCTTTTGTAGAACATGAATTCTTTACCATTTGATGGTAATAAAATTATTTCAAATTTTTTTGTACTCATTATAAACAATTAAAAAAAGAGAGTAGTTTGCACTTTAAAACTGCGTGGTTCAGTTTTAAAAAATTTGGAGCTTTTCTTGTTAGAGTTACTGTGTCAAATATCAAAGATGAATCTTAAAAATAAATATAAAATTATGCAGAAAATTAAAGTGTCTATCGTTTAGTATATAAAGGAATTTTTTTATATAAATAGAAAATGAGAGAAAAATGCACCAAGATTTAGCACAATTTATTATGGGACATCCGTTAATTTGTCTTTAGCTCGTACTTATTTTCAAAATAAATTGTACTATGATTAAGAGATAAGAGAATAGTTTATGTGACGATGTATTAATACTACTACGATTATTTTCAATTAAAGGTAAAAAACGTGTAATCAAACAAGAAATCAACAGCTGATCTTAGATATAGTGAATCATTTTATTATTCTATACAGTTCCAATTGTGGTCAAATTTTAATCTGAAACTATTGTTATTTGTACTAATTTTCTTTTACCCATTGATCTGAAATATTTCAATTCATTTTTACTTTCTACCAAATGTTCAATCAATTTCAATTTGAATAAAATTGTTATATATAAAAATGTTGCTAAATATCGATCTATACATTGTTTTGAGTTTGTGTAATACTGGCATGTATAAATTACTTTGAGCTAAAAATGCAGCAGTTTAAATTTTTAAATGATATTAAATAGTATTACTATACAATTTTCAAAAAGAGAGTGAGTGAAGACATAGTTAAAGACAATAGGTTAAATTTTGGATATGACATATCCACAAAAATACTAACCATAAATTTTTGCTTTTTACTAAATCTTTTTCTTTTGGCTATTTATCAGTACTGTCAATCATATTATTGTAAAAATAATAGCACTTACTTTCGCTATTGCTCTTTTTTGTCCCACAACTGCAATGAAATCAACATTTTGTCCATCGTCTAACGATGGTTGAGTTATATTTTTATGATCAAAACAAAGTTTTTTTGTATTTAAGCATGTTACTAACAGTATCCATTGAACGTTTAGCTTCTGCTGCACATTAATTTTGTTGACTTCCACATACAAATTAATGATGAACAAATTGTGCTTGACGCTATTGATTGTGGACAGTAGATTAGATAGATGGTCTAAAAAGAAAGAGAACAAGAAAGCTACTTAAAACACTATTATAATAACTGATTTATTCAAAATTGAATTGTACAACGCTCAGTTCGGCTTCAGAGTAGAATAGCAATTGCTAAATGAAAATATAAATATTTCTTTCTAATAATTGAGCTTAAAATATTTCTCAAGAAAGAATGTTTTCTTCTAAAACTATAAATTGAACAAAGAAGATAAATAAGTTCTATGCTTTTTTCTTGGAATGTTTTGTTAATTTATTACAGAAAATGATCGCTTAAAAGCGTGTGAAAGATTGTTTTTTTAAATTATCTCTCAATATATAACAAACTTAAAAATACATATAACTTTAAATAAGAAACAAATTAACAACGAAGATAAAAACGTTTCTACACACACACACACACAATCAAATATTGAAAAAACTTCGTATTATTAACCAAAAAAGAGAGAAAAATGTATTCTATTAGAAATAATCCAACTATAAATAAACAGCCGAAAGCAGTCAACGGTTTGAATTTTTCACGTTTATCCAAATGCGATTTAACTGACATCATTGGCTTTGTTCTAATAAAACACAATCACATATAATAATAAAAAAAAATTCAGAATAATTTGTACAATGTAACACCATTTATATTCAAAATAAAAAGAGAGCACCTCACATGTACAACAAAAATTGAGCCTAAAAGAGAAGATCAGTAGTAGTTGATATTGAACTCCATTGTATACTAGAATCGTTCTGTTTAAGTGCATGATTCGTTGAAGATACGGATGATGAAAAATTAGCTGGCTTTGTATTAGTTGTGAATAAATGTTGTCTTGCCATTACAGAATAGGATGTGAGTGACGTTGATTGAGTACTTAGATTATTATCTGAGCTTGAAAATGAATTTGATGGAAATGATATTGATGTAGTACTATTATGTTGACTACCAAGTTCATATGGTTCCACATGTGTCGGACGAAACGTATGAAGACTACCTAAAATGAAAGATTTTAGAAAGAAAACTTTATCAATACAGTTCTTGTACATGAAAACTCCTGATGCCAGACGACAGAGTTATCTAAGAGATTGTTCACTACTACTTTAAGATCACATTCAATACCAAACCAATAAATTAAGAACATATTCATAGAGGATTTTTACAGAAAAAAAACATGAATAAGAGTTACAATAGTTACCTTTTGGTTTAACGGTTTTTTCTTCTAAATTATTTGAATTAAATTTTGCATTTATTTGAGCTAAATGTTCCAGTTCATCATCATCTACATCATCGCCGCTCTCACTCATTTTTTCAGTTTTATTTATCAGTTTTATCAATTCTTTTTTATCATCATCGTTTATTAATGTTGAATGTCGTCGATCTTGAACAATAATTGTATCATCTTCATCATCCGTTAAACCATATTCAGCCATTAAAAATTCGTACGATGGATATTCAAACGTCAAAATATCCTCAATAAATTGAACACGAACATCCTAAAAGAAAGATAATTTAGAATTATATTAATATATAATTTTTTAATTCCACACTCACCTTTTTAAGACCAGAGAATATGGATGATTTATCTAGTTTCACATTTCCACCTATGACATGTACCTGACTTGTTTCCACTAGTAGATTTGTTGAAGCTAGCGATGATTTGCTATCGTTTAATTTCATTATTACTGTTGTTTCTTTACCGTCCACTTTTGAACCACCAAAAAATGTGACACCTTTTGCACGATTAACTACTGTTGAATTTTTAATGTTTTCAGATTTTGTTTCATTTGTTGATATTGAGAGATTTGTTTGAAATGGTACATCATCTGTAGAATTATCTATAAAGTCTTCATTTGAACATATCTCATTTGTACCCATTTGATTATGATGATAATTTAAAGTCAAATTTGGTTTTGACGATGGTACTGGCTTTTTGGGTACAGGAGGAGGTGCTAGTTGAGGTACAATTGTTGATGTCGGCACTACTAATAAAATATCATTTGGACAATTTCGATTAAATAATGCTAAATGACTTTTAAAATCAATTGGTTTTGAATCAATAATATCTGACGTTAATTGTTGAGTATTGACATTAATATTGCTACCGTTTGTCATTGGAATTGATACAGCAGTGGAAGTTAATAAAAGATTCGATTTTATGGAATTATTTAATTGTTTCTCATCTGCCTGTAGTGATTTTAATGTTGTTGATACTGTTTCTGTTGATGGAATTTTATGGGAAGATAACGATAATCGATATGAGTAATTCTAAAATAGATAGAACGTTGAACACATCTAAGAAAAGAAATATTGAAAGAATTTAACTTACTGTTCTTATGTCCTGATCAGCACTATGGTCTTTCAATGTCATTGTTCTAAAACTATCTGTAACCGATGTCAGTGAGTCTAAATACTTTTGTTCAATTATAGTCGTCGGCGGGATTGTTGATGATGGTGGAGGTGTATGAGATGTGACAAGATCAGGATAAGATAATTGAGTCTGCTGTTCTTTTGATGATGATTGCAGTGGTACCGATGTTGTTCGTCTTTGTCGTAGAACATCATTATATGGCGATAAACTACGACTACGTGGACTAGATGTTTCACGATAATTATTATTATTATTCGATTTTGTACTGCTAATAATATTACAACTATTGTTATTATTATTATTATTATTATTATTATTAATCATTAATGTTGTCAATTTATCAGCATCATATCGACTCATTCGTATTTGTCGTTCAAACATATTCTTAACTTGTTCAACAGTGCCAGCTTTCGGCGCTTCATCAACATGTAATTCCGTATACGAATGACGAATAGATGATGTTTTATGTATAGCTTGTAATGTATTATTGTCATTCGAATTCGTAGTTGTTGTATCAACAATGATAACATCGTTTTTCGGTGTTAAAAATGATGATAATTGTTCGGCAGTGACAATATGTCCACCAATATACGTTGTACTATGTTGATTTGCTGTTAAACTATCTTGACTCCTTGATAATCTTGTTGTCCGTTTCAATGGTGAAGGTATTTTAGTAACAACGATAGTTGGTGTCGGTTGTAGTAATGGTATTTGGGATGGTAAAGATAAAACTGATTGAAACACTTGTTGTGGTATTGTTTTTGGAATGATTGAATTTGTTGAAGCTAAATTTTCATTCGGATCTGGCATTGTATTTAATGAACGGCGTTTTATTGCCGTTGTTGTTGTTGTTGTTGTTGTTGTTGTTGTTGTTGTTGTTGTTGTCGGGTACTGATTCGACGTTAACGATTCGAAACGTTTCTTCATTACATTAACAATATTTGACGGTACTTCATCTTCATTACTATTTATTAATTTTTGTTCAATAGCCATGGTAGCTGATGTAGCTTTTGAAATACGAGATACTGGTGATAGAATGTTTGACTTAGTTAATGAAAAATGATTTTTTGAATCATTCATATGATTATGCATAAATGGCTCACTAGTTGTTGACAGAAGATGAGACGACTTTTGTCTTGATGAATGCAATGATACTGACACGTTTCGTTGTTGTTTTTGCAATAAATCATGCTTTTTCCATGGTGGAACATTTTGCGGATGATGATGTCGAGGATTAAGATATTTTGTTGATCGATCAAACGGTAATGGTACAACAACCGACATCTTTTTCTTACGTTTTAACGATTAGAGATGCTCATTATTTCACAGAAAAGGACGGGGAGTCTGATAATCTGAAATGAAAAAACAGAATCACTTAAAGAACCGAACTGGGTGAAGAAGCAAAAATTAGTCTAATTTTCTAGACATCTGTAAGTGAAGATATGAATAATGATAGTTATAGCATGTCGTTCTCTAAGAAATAATATTCGTTTATCAAAAGTAAGAAAAATATTGTTTTCGTCTTACTTGAAATCTGATATATTTACATAAACGATAATGATTTAAGCGCAGAAAAACAAATTTTTTATATTATTTATTATTATTTATTTTATAATAAATAAAAGTTTTATGCTTTCATAAAGAAAAAGAGCAAATTATAGATAATATGCGCTCAATGCTTATTATAAAAGTATATTTATATAAATGATCGTATTCTTATCGCTTTTCTATGTTTTTATTGTTATTCAATTAATATGTGCATTAATAAATTAAATTAATTTTTGATTTTAAAATATAGATTTAATATGATTTCAACAAGTCCATTAATTCTTTCATCTACTTAAGCCTGTTTAGCATCGGATATACTTATTTGAATTTCTAATTCATTTTAATCATTACACACATACAGCATTTTATTAGTATCTGGTTTAATGTATATATTTAATACGACAGGCAATGACGATTAATATTTGAAGCAACCATGAGGCATCTTGAATATATACTCATGCATAATGTCGATAAAAACATTTTAAAAATCTAAAATAGTAACCTTAGACTTTTATCATTTCTGTTATGAATATACCTTGACAATATACAATAATATAAAAACGATAATCATTTTGAACAAATATAATGCGGTAAATTGCATATGCACACACAAAAAAAAAACTTCTAATTTCTCAACTTGTACAACAACACACCTTGGCTTTTCTTTCTCCCTTTCTCTCTCTCTCCCTCTCTCTCTCTCTCAAAGCAAAAAAAAAAATGAACAGCTCTCAAGGTTATAAAGAACAAGAAGGCTATTAAATATTGACTTACGCAAAATCAAGAAAAAAAGATGAGGAACAGAAGAAAAAATGGTAAGAGGAAGATGATGTGCTGTAGATTGATATGTTTACAACCAGATCTAGCTGTATACACAATCATTATTTTATATTCTTGTTCTTGTTCTCGTTTCGAGTAAACAAATTTAAAATCTTTCATACGTACAAACGTAGGACAACAAACTATGTTAATCTTACGTGGCTGATTCATAAAAACTAAATCAGTTTAACAAAACTATTCACGATAAATTCAGAAAAATGTTTTGACTAAAATGTTCGTCGTATTATTTAGTTTTAATTTTCATCAAATAATCAACAATCTCGAACAGAAACATTTAGTTTTTGAATACAAAAATTGTTTGTCAAAAGACAATTCAATGTTCAAAAGTGGATAGAAGTTCTAATTAGTCAGCCACTCGTTACATGTTAGTAGAGTAAATTTTTAAATTCAAGTGAAAGCAGGTGGTGAACTTTTCACTGAATAAAAAACTCTTTCTTTCAAGGACCGAAACATTGTTCTTACGTTCAATCAGTTTTTTTAATTGTCATATACTAAGCGATTTTTTTTTCTTTTTCTTCTTTGCTTCTCATCAACTATTTATTGTTTGTATGTCTCATCTATTAATTCAACATTTTATATGGCATCGAATACAATAGGGAGAGACAAAGAGAAAGAAAAACTTCTCATACAAATGAGTATGAAAGAGTATTGGGTTAAATTACATAATACAAACGTTTTTCATCATATAGCTAGACTACAACACACACACCTTCTCAGAGTAATGAATGTTAGTATATATATATATATATATACTTGTATGTCACGTCACACACATAGTTCAGAGAGAGAAGTTATTCACTTAACTTCTTCATGTTCACCATGATCAATCTCAAGTCATTTTTATCACGTAATAAATATCCACATATCTAAGAAAATAATGGAAAAAAGTTCTTTATGAACAAGTGATATTAGTGCATATTCATAATAACGAAAAAAAAAAAACAAGAGAAATTGTTCAACATTCTACATAACATGTATAACACTAAAAATGAAGAGAGCTAGTTCTTCTATTAAAGTTTACACAAATTTATTTTGAATAAGTCTCTGAATAGAGTAAAAGTATTACATAATTCTAAATCAATTTTTCCTTACGTAATTATGATTAAAAAAAAAGATATTTGTGTAAAATATCCGATTTGAAGAATCAATAGATCACTTTCATTTTTTTTTTCAAGTTTTAACATCAAGATAAAGTGGTTTCTAATTCGATAGTGATAAAATCTATGATAAGTTAACGTGACCTTCAAAGTTTATTTTTCATACTTTTTAAACGAGAAAAATTTTCTAAATTATTCTATGCAATTAATGAAGCGCAATGGATCACAATAAAACAGATCAATTACTTACTGAAAAATACATCAGAATTCTCGAGTAGCAATAGTAGTAATTTTAGAATAGTTGTATGACAAATGTTCTTTTCACTATTAGAAAAAGCAAAATCATCTATTATACTTCTTTTTATAATATGTTCTAGAGGTCATTATAACTGTTTTCTTCTGTCAAAATACAAGAGATATTGTTGCATACATACACATCTGACGACCTATTCATTTTCATAAAAGAAACAATTAAATGTAAAAAAAATTGTTCTCGATTATGTTAATACGATAAACATATAGTACAGTCGTCGAGAAAGATTGAACAAATAACAATGATCATTATTACAGATACCTATTTAAAGATAAGAGGAAATTGTACATCAGATTAAGAACATGTTGCTACTCAACATTCTGTACATGTTACAAAATATACATGACTCGCTTTTTTTAACATAAAGTATATTATTCTTTTATGTAAAATAGTAATAAATATAGAAACAAAAAAACAATTGATGTCAAGAGTACACATATACATAAAAATTTATTTATGGTATCGAATATAGTAAACACCTTATTTTTATTAAAAATATATAATAACAAAAAAAACGTGTTTAGATTATAGAAGGCAACATATTAATTAAAATTCAAAGTAAAAGATAAAGAAACTACTGTATTATATACTTCTCTAATCATTTAATCAATTTTTTTCATAATTGCGCAGTATTATTAAAAGACTGTCTAAATTTTGAATTGTTTTCTTCATCATCATTCACAAAAGAAAAAAGAAATGAATCATATTATATTACTCAAGTCATACATGAGACTATGCTTTGTTGAAAGAACAACAGAATGCAATACGAAAAAATATATTGAAATATCATAATGGACAGTTTTCATTTTACGTTTACGTCTATATTAGCAGAAATTTTAATTGATCATATTACATTACATCAAAATAAAATGGAAATCTGTATGAGCTCGTATTAAATTAGCAACATTCAAGTAAGATCATGAATTATTAACTAACTTCATATAGTTTTGCTACTATATACACAAAAGTATATCGTACGGTATATTTGTACTAGGGATTTATCGAATAGTTTAATTTATAGTCGTCTAGAAAATAAGAAAAATGTTTTGTCAAAAATACTAGAAATATATCACAATGTAAAACATGAAAAAAATTGCCAAATAATAAAACTTTTATATCTCGATTCATTCCTCTTTTTTTTTCTTATAAATAATCGCCACAAGAATACGTGCACACGGATTCCTCAACTGACTTTACATTGTATATTACTATCTTTTGATGATAAATTTGTTTGTCTAGTTTTAGACAGATGTTCATTTTCATCCTCTTTGTTTATGTTGTTTACTGTATAAGTACCAAATTCGTTATTCTCACTCGATGGACAAGATCCTTCTTTTTTTTTCAGCTTTTGATGATGATGATGATAATTAAACGAACGTCGACGTGTTTTACTGTTTTCATTTGCATTGCTACTAGCGTTGCTGAATGCTGGTGGTTTTCGTTTAGAAAAATATATACGACGAGTTTTTCTGGGATAACCATGTTCAGACAACGAGGAATTAGAAATGTTTAACGATGTTGATAGAGAAACGGATGAGTGGTATTTGTTCTTTTTTGATAGTTTTCGATGATAATGTCTATATTTTCCTTTTTCGTCTTCGTTTTTTGTCTCTAATCTCATACGATCATTCTCAAGACGGGTGTGTTCTAAATGTGATGTTATTCTTACCACTGAACAAAAAAACGTAGTATTTATGAAGAAAAATCTGTTTAGTTTAAGATCGTTAACATTTACCATCATCATCGGATATCTTGTCTTGATAATTTGGTGTTGAATTAATGATCTGTTTGTAACCATATGTATTTCTCACATCTTCTGCCCATTTACGAATAAATTCATTTTTCTCTGTTTTTAGCTTTTCATCGTTCAATTCATAACTGTCATTATTTAACACTGGGAACTGTTGCTGTACGTCTTCTGTTGTTTTCTTCTCATTTTTTTCACGCGGATGCAATGACTGACTCGATTGCATTGCATAACAAAATCTACCAACATTTTTTGGTAATAATTTATGACTATTAGGATGATAGTAATGAGTAGATAATGATTTTGAATATTCAACTTCGGCTGGTATGGTCATTGCGGTTGATGAACGATATTTTTTGGATGGTTTTGTCGTTTTTTTCTTTATTGTCTTAGCACTTTCATAATTCAGCAACATTTCACTTCTTGAACAATGTGTCGATGTAGCTGTCACCGTCGGAAATGTTTTATTTTTATCGCCCTCTGTATTCTGTATGGTTGTTTCAACTGTTTCATGTTGTTGCTGTAATTCTTGTTGTTTCCGACCAAATTCTGACGATTTTTTCGTTGGAGATTGTTGACTAATTAATCGTTGACTAGCTAGAAGAAGAATTTTTTACCGTGTTCAAAAATTTAATCGATAAACTTTACCGGCAACAATCATCGCAGATACTGATTCATGTTTTCTTGAAATTACACTATTGCGATTGATTTTCTGCTGATTCTTTGGTTTATCAAACATTTCACTATTGAATTCATCTAGTTTTTCATAATAATTTCTCATTTTATTCGATCTGGCTCGTTGAGGTTTGTTACGATGAAAACGATAATGATGTTGATTTCGATTCCAATAAGGTTCGGCTGAATTTGATTGTGCAACTGCCGCTTGTCCACCACTTCCCTCTCCTGGACCAAGATTGGTTTTTGCCTTTTGCTCTTGTAATTGTTTTTGTTGCTCAGCAGCTGCTATTTTCTCGTCAATTTCCGCTTTTTGCGCTAGACGTTCAAGTCTTGATAACACAATTGATAATACAGTCATTACATCTGTGATAGGTGCCGCGAATAGCACTGTATCTTTCATTGTACTAGCACATTCCAAACTACATATTAATAACTTCAAATCGTGTTCTAATTGTGAAAAGATAATAGCTATTTCACGAAAATCACGCAAATCACGACGAGCAATCATTTTATCACTACGAACTGCTTCATCAAATTCTTGAATTTTTCGTTGTAGTTTTAAAAATTTCACCTTTGTTTTTGGTTCCAAGCCTAGAGGTGCATTGGGATAACGTAATCTAAATGAGAGAGAAACATCTTTCAGCATCTAAATAATTGTTGTTGTTTATTAGCAAGAGAAAATGTACCTTTTTTCATTTACAGAAAAAAAAGTTCGATATCAATGCTGATCAGATACACTGTTTATGTAAACCGAAAATTGTATTTGTTGAGTTTTTGAATTAAATCACACAAGAAAACGAATTTGTATGAAAATTCGAAGGTAAGAACTTACAAAACTGAAAAACACTATTCATTGTTAGAGTGAAGAACTGTCATTCTGCGTCTTATTCAAGAGTTAATATCTCCTTGCTAACATACTCAATTCCATTGGTAAAATCATGAGTATGAAAATTGCATGTATACGTACCGACACACCCGTAATTCATTCAATGTAGCTCGAGCTCGTAAACATGCCGATCGTAGTAATTTGTTAAACATCATTAAATCAAAATTAAGGCTAAACCGTAAACTACATTCTGGAAGACATGCATCATCACTGATTAAACCAATTTTTTGATTTCGTATGGTGAGTAGTTTCTGTACTCGTAATGCATCCATAATATTTAAGCCAAAATCTAACAATTTTAACGTAGCTTCAATAAGTTGATTGATCAAATCTTCCGCTTTACTGCACGCCATCTTTGTTGGTTAATTTGTATTGATTTTGGGGGGTAAAAATTCAGAAAGAACGTCTAGTATCAGTATTTTTGTTTAGTCATCTCTGTTTTATCTTCTATTTCATACATATCAAAACACAAACTCATAAAAATAATAATAATAATAATAATAATAATAATAATAATAATAATGGAAACTAAGCACACTTATAGTAACGTGAATAGAGAGAAAAAGAGTGAATTTTCGAAAGATAATCAATTTAAATCGTAGGTTCACAATAGTCTTTCTCTTAGAGATTGTCTATATTGTTCTTGTTGGCAAGTGATAAAAAAAAATTCCTCAATCAAAGAATTTGACAGTAAAGTATAAACGCGCCATTCTATTTTCTTCGTTTATATGGACACACAGATCTTGTTCTTTGTTTTAACGTACACTGAAGTTCATTACAACAAACAAAATTACTGGGATGTCCATCTAAGTTTAAACAGAACGATTTTATTTTTCTCATTACAATCGGAAAGATTTGAATATTATGCAACAAAAACTGATAAAATAAGCAAATTACAACGCTCTATACATTTTTCACGCATATCTTTTGATCTTACAGTTTGTCATCATGACAGTACTTAAGCTTGAATGTCAATCATTAGATAACATTTTCTAGGCACTTTACCATCTTCTCTTTGTGTCTCACACAAGTAAAGTGTTATTTGATAACGTTTTTCATCGGCAAATTGTATCTTTCTAACTTAAACAAAGTTGTCAGAATATCACAAAAAACTAAAACTAAAATCTTATAGCACCTTTCTTTATATGTAAGATAAATAGCATATGATGTAACATTCGGTCCCAATTCTGTCCTCTAAATGAATCAGCAGCAAATATTCCTCGTTAAGAGCAATCATATAATGAAATGTATCGCGAGTAAAAATATATATATATATATTTTTTTTTTTTCTAGAGGTATTTTTGAGTATCGTCTAATAAAACATCACGATGAAAACGTAGTTTAATCAACGAACAAGGACAGTTTATTAAATAAACGCAAAAAAACGAGTTGAACAAAACTAACAAAAAAAAAACCCATAACTGTCCAACGCGAAAACAAAAACACCCTTTTTCATCTCCGACAACGATACAACAATAAAGTTGATTGGAATGAAAAACAAAACGTAGAAATAAAATAAACAGCAGCAATAGCAACAGAACAAAAACAAAGAAACTGGGTTCACCTGTCAAAAAAAATTTGATTCTTTTTTAAGTTTAAAATCCATATCACCGAAAAACAAAATAAAAAACAGCAATAACAACACTGTAAATTATAGATATGTACGCTTGATTTTTAGGTCCAAAAAGAGAAAAAAGCCTGCTTTTTTATGGCACACAGCATACACACCCACAGAAAGATAATAATTGAAACAAAAAAAAGAAAATATGTTTGCGTGACAAGTGGTAGTTGCTAGTTTTGTCTTGACGTCTATATGACATATTTGATTTATCTTTGTAAACGTTAAGTGAAAAGAAACGAATTTTTCATCTTTTTGGAAGCTCGCAGGACAAAATTAAACAAAAAACAGAATACGGCACACGTTAATGAACAAAAAGAACAATAATTCATTTCAGTTTTTCAATAAGTGAAAGAAGGGTACAGTACAGTATTAGGAATAGATTTTGTGCTAACGGCAAGAAACTGTTCAAAAAAAAATTTTAAAATGTTACTAATTTTAGCTTGAGCGTCTGTTTGGTCGTAAATAAAATATGTTTTTAATTAAGATTCATCTTTTTGGTCGGCACTAAAAGAAAGCATGTGCAATATTTAAGAGGTTTGATCTCATAGACTTTATTCACACTGTAGATGTTAGAGTCAAGTCGTTTGTGGTTTCTCATTAAATGATTTTTGGTAATCTTTCATTTTCTTGACTCTTATAAAAAATCTGTCCAAAATTTTATTACTTGGCCTACTTTATTATGTTTATGAAGCTGTTTTGCTGTTATTTTTGCTGTTGTTCATTGTTGAACTTGGTCGCGTCACGTCCTTCGCCTTCACTAATAAAACGTTTACGTCCTTTGTCTTGTTGTGATGCTATATCATGATTGACAATCTTTTTTTCTTCCAAAGCTTTTAATAGCGATTGTAATTGTTCATAAGCATTTGGTACATCCAGTGCAATATCATCCATATCTTCAAATATACGTAACATACCCGTTTTTAATTGATCATATGTAATAACAACAGTTTTTGTTAAATTCTCTAATAAATCAATTGTTATTGTTTTTGCACGTTCATTATTTTTTTCGATACAAAAATCAATTAATTCATAAACAAATTCATGATTGAAATGAGGTACATTCAATTCCTTTAAACATCGTACGGCTTCCAAGATATCGCCACTATCATAATACTCATGAATAATTATATTCATTTTATCAGCTAGTTCACGTACAGGCCGAAAACCACCTAAACAGGAAAGAATAGGAAAAGTCTGATAGGAAAATGAGCTACAAAATGATTGTACCTGATTGTTCGCCCCAGATATTACTAAGAAAATAATAGTCATTCATTGCTACCAATGTGTCTGCTTTATTAAGTGCTGATTGCATTTTGTCGCATTTAACATTGCCTTTATATTTAAGAAAATATTGCCCATCGGTGTTATCAATGCATTTGTCAGCAATTAAACGTGCAATAAATTTACCTAGAGGTAATAAACGCATTGTATCACTTCTTGCGCATAAAAAGTTTGATTTGAACTATCTTACCAATGTCAGCCGATGCGTTCGGATTATCTAGTAATAAATCCGTTAATGTCGTTAATAACTTATCAAAACCTGTTGTGTAGTCGTCTGAACGAAAGATAACACCAGCTAAATCATGTAACAAACGTGATATTAGTTCTTTATAAACATTTGCTCGTTCAAGGGCCATTGTTATTATGTAAACAATTAATTCTGAACCTTTTGCTTTAAAATCATATTTTTTCAATGATTGTGCAACATCATTGGCATCACCATTAAGAAAATATTCTTCAATTAATGGTTTAACATCTTTGTCAAAATCTTGGATTTGAAGACGTTTCAGTTTTGTTTCTAAACTCTGTTGTGATGTTAGCGTTTTTTCACTTGTTGATGACACCGCTGTTGTTGCCGTTGACGGTTGTCCAACTATTTTAATATTTGGTTCCGTTGCAACGTGTTGACCAGCTGTATCCGTTAAACCAATATCCGAAGATGATTTTCCGGTATCATGAATTAATTTGGCTTTCGCTTTATTGTATTGAATATCAGCATCATATTCGTCATCTAAAATACGTACAAAGTTACGCATATACAGCGATCTATCGATCGCTTGGAAAAAAACGCGGAGTTAATAGACAAATTACTCACTCACCATAAAATTCTTCATTATCTTCCTCTAACAGCTCACTTCCGGGAGCTCCCCAAGTGAATTGTCCTCCGCCGCCGCCTTTTTTTGCCAAACCACGACCTTTTCCTAGATTGAAAAAGTTTTGGTCATTCAGAAAGAAATTTTGTTATAAAGATGTTACCTTGTCTTGATTTTCGATTGTACTTCTTCGATATTTTTGCATTTTTATGTAATAAATGTCCGCTTTGGTCAATTGGTGAAGTAAGGCCAGCACCAGTGCCACCTGACGAACTTGTACCAGAATTACGTCTTGCTTGCACTCGCTTGCGTTCCGACGAACTGGCATCGCCAGCACTTCCTTGACTACTACGATTTTCATCATCACCGACACTTGAAGATTTTCGACTTAGTTCTGCAATAAGGTGCTCTACTTCAGCTTTTTCATCGGCTGATGTCATGTTTGTGGCAAAACAAAGAAAAAGAAAAAAGACGTAACGATCAAATGAATCAGTATTTTGAATCAAAATAAAGTAAAAGTAATTTTTAGATGTTGTGGCAGTTCTTTGATTGCTTTTGATCTAAAACTATAAACAAGAAAGAATTCGTTTGCTCTCTTTTATATTGATATTAATCACGACAATTAAGTGAGGAGTTCAGCTTCTCATCTCGAAACAGTTAACTCGATGGAATTTCTAGTTATACAGTATATGATTATCTCTACTTGTAAATGCAATAAAATATGACTACTTAAACACCGAAGAAGTCTCTAAATGGTATTTGTGTGTGTAGTACAGGAAATGTTTTACTTCACAAACTGAATTACTACTCAATACCTAAAAAGATCCCGAATAACGCACATTCCAATCATCACTTAGTCTTGCGTATAAATACTTTGCATAACCTTATAGTCAAGGGCTAAGCGACTCAGAATGATGAGCGCTACTTGTTAAATAAATTTTCTGTAAGGTTCTGCTTTATATGAGTGTAGATCCTCAGCTGCGCGATAACACTGTTCACTTCACTCCAGCGGAGTCTCCACCCACCTAAGCATTTAAGGCCTTTTGTGCCATCTCAGAGGTTCGAGTCATCAGTATACCACCTGGAAAATGAACTTTTACAGCAAAAAAACGTCCACCCACTTTTGTCTGAGGGATTGTGCCTCATCCCACAGGATAGACACCCTCCGCTTTACTCAAAACATAAACTCAGAAATTGATAGAAGCTCAAGGTTGTACAGAAATTCTAGGATTCGTAAAAGTACACTCCCAACAAATTCCCTACAGTTAACGACCTTCTAGATTACTCTCTCTTCTCAGTTAAGCTGATTCTGTCAGTATTACGTCGAAACCCGTTCCTTAAAATATTTTTTCACAAGATAGTGCCCTCTACTGAGTTGATTATTAGATCTAGAAAATTAATTGCGTATCTGGAGCTCGTTTTACGGAAAAGCTTAAGTCAAAATCTAAGTCAAAGATAAGTTGGACTTAAGCAAAACTTAATTTCTGACTCAAGTTTGACTTACGTTGATTCCATATACTTAATACTTAGATCGAACTTAAATTTTTTCGTGACACGAGGCCTGTCTATCTGTCCACGAAACACGGAAAAATGGCCGAAAAGTAATCTACGGATTACCCAATGAGAAGAGTCAAAAGTGAAAAGCCGTTAGAGAGTACATATTAATGAGGTAACAGATAAAGCAACAAACACAAATTAAGATGTAATGACTAAATATGTGAAGCGCACTGCAGCTGAGTAATAGAAAATATATTTAATAGTCAACTCAATAGAGGACGCTATCTTGCCGGAAAATATTTCAAGAAACGGGTTTCGACGTAAAAACTGACAGAATCAGTTTATCTCAGAAGAGAGTATAATCTAAATGATAGTCATCTGTGGAGAATTTATTGGTGTGGGAGTACTTTTATGAACCCTAGGGTTTCTATACAACCTTTTGTATTTCGAGCTTCTATAAATTTCTGACTTTATGTTTGAGTGAGGTAAATAATATTATCGCGCAGCTGAGAATCTTCCAGAGAGTTCTAGAAAACTATTTGATTTCTATTCTTTTGATTTACCTTCTATATAAAGTGTCCATTGACATTCACCATTGAGCGTGAAAATTTATTGAGTGAGTATTTTAACTTAAATGAAGGTTTTAATTAAAAAATGTTTGGTGATCTTTTTTTCTAGAAATGGCTGATTTGAATTTGCGGAAGAAAACAAAATCACCAAAAAATTTTTAATTCGAATGTCTATTTATTTAAAGTGTTTACCCAATAAATTTCAGATTACATAAGATACTTATATCCGCTTTTGATCTCGCTCCTATTCGGACTTTTTGTCATCAGTGCACATATGATTCATAGCTGGTGTAATCTCTCGAATTATCAAGAAAGTTTAGAGCAGACGTTTGTACGGAACATTATTCGAAAAACGATACATTTTGAAACGGATAGTTGTCACAGAAGTTCAACAAATTCGCTGATTAAAATAAGAGATGGAAGAAGAGGTATTCCAGTTCTGAAAATTTTTCTTGGCGGTCGTCCCTCAAAAAAACGGTCGACCCCCTCCTCCAATCCTAACCGCTTCGGAACAGTGATTAACCGCTCTTATGATTTCTAAAAAGTTTGATGGTTCGGTAATCTCTTTGATCAGCAAATTAAAGTTGCCAGATTTATCGACACGCAGAAAATATTTTCGGTTATTACGGTTTTTCGAAGTCCAAAATTCATTCTCGCCTCGTTTCATATACCTTTTATAAAACCATTAGCAGCTAAAAGATCACGCCGTTTGAATACACTGTAATTTGGAATTCATAGAAAATTTTATAGAAAATCGATCTCTCCCTTTTTATAAATTCCCTGTCGATTTTCTGGCTTTCTATCAATTTCTGATCTTCTATTTTGAGGGTGAGGGTGTCGATCGAGTCGATTTTCTATAAATTGACTTTTTATTTTATTCAAAAAGTCGCCGTAGAATTGCCAAAATAAGAAAATTTGGCGTCGATTTTCTAATATTCTAGAAATTCGATCGATTTTCTATGAATAATTTCCAAGATTCTTGAAATTCCATATCGAATTTCTAAAATGTTGGAAAATCGGCTTCGAATTTCAAGAATCTTGGGGCTTATTTTTAGAAAATCGATCGAATTTCCAGGATTCTGGAAATGCGAGATCGAATTTTCAAGTTTCTTGCAAATTTGATTTTCTAGAATCTAGAAAATCCTCAGGCAGTTTATATATCAACTTTTTGAAAATCGCCGGGCACTTTCTATAAATAATTCCCGACATTACAGTGTAGTAACCGTCAGAACAGTATGTAGGTTGAAACACCGACAGTATCGAAAGGACATGTAGTTTCTTCTTTTTCTACCGTACTGCTGCTGACTGGAATTCCCTGCCACAAAGTGTTGTGTCTTGTCATGTGTTTATCTCGCTAAATCTTGTTATGTGTTAAAGTATGTGTTTTACTTTACTTAAACAGAGTAAGATAACTCTTTTCAGTATCGTAAAAGAAGAGAATTAATCATTTATTTATCTTTGTTTTAGATAATATACTCAACCAAAAATGTTGTTTTATTGATCGTGAATTTTTTCATTGTAAAAAGCGATTCATAGCTTCTTTCTTTTGTTTTCATTTAGTTTTTTGATTCTGTCAGCTAGAAAAAAGATGTTGAATAGGCGGATAATAAGTTCTACATTTCTGTGATCTTTGGAAGATCTAAAGCATAGCGAGTAGCGAAACAAAAGCATGATTGTTTTGTAGGACAAATGATTAAAGAACTGTCATTTAACTACGGACGATAAATGCTAGTTTTTAAAAACTCATAGAATAGTTTCAACACAAATAAAGAACGAACTGAATTATAATTAGAAAAAAAAGCTGGAAATCAAAATAAGAATTAAGATAGGGACTGCAAAGGGAATATTTGAATATTCACACAAGCGAAGAACTGTTTTCTAATGTCACATATTCTTTGTTTTAAATCTCAATGTCCATAAAAACGGGTATTGCATTACATTCTCCTTATTTCGACGTTATCCAGCGATTAAGCCCTAGTAAAAATCATAGACACTTCTTAACATTATCTTACTAAGATCTTATAAGATCTTATCCTTTAAGATTTTGATAAGATAATCTACGATCTTATCGTTTAAGATCTTAATAAGATTTAATGACTCTGCTTTCATTCACC